AGCATGAATTTCGGAAAAATAATGTGTCTGATTTAATTTAATGAAATCGCCGGCCTTAAACGCAAATACACAGATTCGGCAGTAAGGAGTGACGAAAATTCGATGTTGAGTTATAGCATGAAAGTAAAATGGAGGTCTCTGTGTAAACAGTTCACAGAAACACAAGAAGACGGGGGTCCTAAAGTCGTACAGTCTAAGCGAGGCATGATAGTTAGATAAAAGGTGGATCGGGAGAACCTACCTGCGATTCACAGGCGGTCGTGGTGAGGTAGGCGATCATCCAGGCCTCTTCCACAGACCGACCCAAGGCCAGAATGCCGTACTTCTTGATGAGCACAAGCCGTGGTTCGGTCCCACCATCAGTGAGACAGGCCTTGATAGCCTCTGACTCCTCTGCAGCCCTCGCTTTGCGACGCTCGGCTGCTGTGCTTGACGACTCTTCATTCTCATCAGAGCGGACAGTAGAACTGGGGTCATAAGTGGCCACCTTGCCCAGCATCATCGCCTCCTGACTGATCGGCAGCAGGCCCGCGTTCATGCAAGACACCTACAAGGGGAGGAAACAGAGGGTCATACTTTGTATCGCATTACCACAGCGTGCAGGCCGCAAGGTCGTATGTCACTGAGGAAGACGAAGAACCGAAGAAACATCCAGGCAAAATGAACGACTTAAATGAGTGGCTTAGGCGCCCGAATTATATTGACGGTCGATCACAAATATCAGTGAAGAGTCCAATGTCGAATCGGTAGGACTTTACATCTCACGTAATCCAAGGTAAGGTAAAGAGTAAGCAAGTAAATTGCTTGTGCACTTTGGGGAGGCCATAGAAGCGGGTCAAGGTAAGTGATGAATTAGGTAAGCGAATAACAAAAATAAGTTATAAAAATCGTCTTCAGATTGAAACATCCAAGAAATGAATTGGAGAAAGGACTGGCAAAGTTTCTAGAATTCATATAAGTTGAGGTATTTCATCCAAACGGCCACACAGGCGGTCTGACTACGAAGCACCTAGTTCCCGCAGGCTACAATGAACAGCTTACGTCTGAAATATCGTATATAACCTAACTCATGAAAAGAATGACGGATGAGATAATGACACAGTGTTCCGTATCATCTTCCCATGTTACTCGGTGGAGACGGAAGAACAGTAAGCTTTAGCATCGGCATCACCGCTCAGTCTCGGGGTCACAGTTCGACGTAATCATACTGATACTATGAACACCTCTCAAGTCCGTTATGCCTGTCCGTTCTAGTCCAGCTCATTCACGTTTGCTATGGGCCCATTCAGCCTGATGTACATACACGTTCAGTGAAACAATACAGCCGAGGGCTCCTTACACCCT